AAGGGAGCATATTGGGACCGTTGCTATTCCTGGTCTATGTGAATGATTTCCAGCACTGTATTAAACATTGCAAAGTCATACTTTACGCGGACGATACTTTGATTTATGTTTCTGCAAAAACGGCTAATGAAGTTGAAACTTTTCTAAACGAAGACCTTCAATCAGTTGCGGAATGGCTTTCATCCAATTTGCTTACGCTTAACTGTGAGAAGTCAAAACTCCTTCTGTTTGGAAGTAAACAACGGCTTAAATCATTTAATAGCATCTCCATAAAAGTGAATAATCAGGCAGTCGGACGTGTGAATTCGTTGAAATATCTTGGGGTGACTTTCAATGAAGATTTGTCGTGGAGCGACTATATCGAGAATATTATTTCGAAAACAAACCAGCGATTGGGTCTGCTTAAGAGAATCAAACATTTGTTACCAACTGATTCCCGACTGACACTCTTTAGTTGCCTTGTTCTCCCTTTATTTGACTATGGGGATGTGATATGGGGTGACAAAAACAATATATCATTGATGAACGATTTACAAGTCCAACAAAGTAAAGCAGCAAAAATTATATTGAACAAACCAATATCCTTTTCGTCAACAGAGGCTCTGTCAACTTTAAAATGGAAACGACTGAGTGAAAGAAGACGTGCCCATCGATGCATCTTAATTTTTAAATGTTTAAATAATTACATAAACTTTGACTTTAATTTAGTATATAATAGCAGTATTCATAATTATAATACTCGACAGAGTTGCTTTCTTCATTTACCCAAGACAAGGACAAATTGGGGTAAACATAAAGTCACTTATCATGCTGTGTATGACTATAACAACCTTGAGTCGGATTGTCAAAATGCCCAGACAATATCTCAATTTAAATCCAAAGTTTTTGACTGTCGGCCATGATGTACTATTGTTCTTCTCGACTTTTAAACTTTTACCAGTTCAGCAAGTATACTATTGTAATGATAGATAATTTATGATATTTTTAACTTTTGACCACATGTAAATAGATTAGATATAATATTCTTCACTTTGTATAATACTAGTTCTATAGTACAGGTCCATTCTGAAAATCACTTCTGTGAGAATGCCTCCTGAATAAAGATTGTTATCATCAATCTGTAAAACATATACCAATTCAGGCAAATACAACACGAGCAAGATGAGACCTGCGATGACTATTGCACAAGACTAAAGCAAGCGGCGAAACTTTGCAAATTCCCAAAGGAATGGCAAGATACAGAAATCCAATTACAACTTATAGGCAAAGGAATATCGAAAAGAATACGCCGACAATTATTAAGCAAAGAACATATGTTACAAGAATTTGCAAGAGCACAAGAAATAGCGGACGGTCGAGCTACAAGAATCGAAAGACGAGTCAAGATCCCGAAGCCAGAAATCGATGAAGTATACGAAACAAGGGTAACAACAAAAACTAAAAAAGTACAAAGAAATGTTTCTTCTGTGGCGGCAAATTTCCACACCAAGGTGGAAGGACAAAGTGCCGGGCATGGGGCAAGGAATTTAAAATTTGCAACAAACCCAACCACTTCGCCAAATGTTGTACAGGGTCAAGTAATCAAAAGAAAATAAGGACAATCGAGAATAAAGAAGATTGCGACCCCAGCTCGGACAGCAGCGATAATACATCGATCTATAACGTAGGGACAGTAAATGGTAGGGCAACGGACGTGGAGAGTAGACCAGTTCGAACAGTTAAGATTGACAACAAAGATATTAACGTCTTAATAGATATGGGGGCACGGCAAACATAGTGGACGAGGAAGCGTACAGGAAAATATCTCCAGGACAGCAGAAATTAAAAAGGCGAAAAGTATTATGTAGCCGTACAACACAGATAAAAACTCCACTTCACCACTATGTATTGTTGGGAAATTCGACGCACTAATTGAATCCAAAACAAGAATAGTGTCAGCTACGTTCTACGTGGCGGAAAGAAAAACAAAAACAGAGCCATTACCAGGTATGGTCACCGTCGCAAACACAGTAGAGACAGAACCGTCAACAGTAGAGGAACTAGTGGGAAAATTTAGCGATACATTTGAGGGTATTAGCAAGATGAAAGGCGTAAAAGTCGACCTGAACCTTACGGACGTAAAACCAGTAGTGCAACCACTTAGACGTATACCATTTAGAGTGCGACCCAAGATAGTAGAAGAACTACGAAGGTTGCAGGAAGAAGATATTATAGGGAAGATAGACAAACCTACTAGCTGGATATCTCCAACGGTGATCACCCCAAAGAAATCCGCCTTAATGTGGACATGAGAGTAGCCAACGGTGCCATTCCCTGTGTGAACAGTATCGCGCCAACCATAGACGAATTAATACAAGAATTAAACGGTGCTCAAGTATTCTCGCATTTAGACATGAATCACGGACACTATCAATTGGAACTGGATGAAAACAGTCAGGATATAATAACTTTCTCAACGCACATCGGGTTCTACCGGTACAAAAGGCTTAATTATGGTGCTAAATCAGCAGGTGATATTTTTCAAAACAGGATAAAAATAGAACTTACACAGTACATACCGGGAGTGAATAACATTAGCGACGATATACTAGTGACAGGGAAGGATCAACAAGAACATGATCAAAGATTAGAAGCATTCCTTGAAACCGTACGAGTAAAAACGTTACGTTTAACAAATTAAAGTGCGAGTTCAGTAAGGACAAATGTTTGTATTTCGGGCTATTGCACAGACCCACCACGGAGTGGGAAAGAGCTCAACTTATTTCTATGCACAGTGCAATATAATGCCAGATTCATGAAAAAGTTTGCGTCATCAACGGAAAAGTTGAGAAGTTTGTTGAAGGAGTCGAAATTTAGATGGAAAAAGGAGCATCAAGAAGCATTAGAGGATCTGAAGAAGGGATTGTGCGAAGAAACGACTTTGACATATTTTGACCCCAATGCGGAACACGAAGTCCATGTGGACGGTTGTCCCGTCGGAATATCAGCAACATTGGTGCAAAAGAGTGAAAAGGATGGCCGGTGGTAAGTGGTCCAATATGCAAGCCGGTTTCTGTAGGATACAGAAACCAGATACTCGCAAATCGAGCTACAACCCTCGCAGTAGACTTTGCATGGAAGAAATTACACTTATACCTGTACGGGATACAGTTTACAATTATAACCGATCATAAACCATTGGAAACAATACTAAATAACCCAAGAAACCAAACATCAAACATCAATAAGGCTACAAAGAATCCTGGTAAGGATTATGGACTATCAGTTCAAAGTGGAATACAGGCTCGGCAAGGACAACATCTCGGATTATACGTCAAGACACCAAGTGTCCCGAGTTGAATGTTCAAAACAAGAGCTAAGCAATATATGCTTCAAAACAACATCCCACGAGCGATCGCTAAAGAAGAATTGAAAAAAAACCGTGAAAGAAGAGCCGACATTGCAAAGACTCTCGGAGTGTATTGAGAAAGGACGAATTGGGGGGGGGGGGATTCTACAGACATCATCGCGTATAGGCAATTTTTTTCAGAATTGACGTTGGTGACGGGTTGATGCGAGGTGAAAGAATTGTAGTCCCCGAAAAGTTACAGAAACAGATGATACAGATTGCTACATGGAATAGTACGTACCAAATAAATGCTCTGAGCCCATGTCTGGTTTTCAGGAATCGATGCAAGCAACCACACCTTCAAACCATGGAGAACCATTAACAATGACCAATTTACCCGAAGAGCCGTGGGAAAGAGTTAGCATGGATTTCGTAGGACCTTTGTCGAATAAAGACATGATTCTGGTACTGTGGTACCAAGTACCCAGTAATCGAATTTGTTACCACAACGGCAGCGGAATCAACAATATGTGTAGTGGATCGAGTGTTCACGACGTATACCAGAGGAAATAAAAACGGATAACGACCCACCATCCAATGGAAGAAAATTCTCGGAATTTGCAGAAACACAAGGATTCAACCATCGTAAGTTCACGCCTAAGAGGGCAAAGGCCAATGTGTATTGTCGAAAGAATAATCCAAACAATAAAAAAGTGCGAAGATAGCCAGAATTAAGGGGAAGAAAATTCGACAAGAGATTCAAACAAACGTCCGACGTAATCGAGACACCCCACACGTTAGTACGGGAGAAAGCCCTAATAAGTTATTGTTCGGAAGGGAATTGAATGGTCGACTACCAGCTAATTTGTCGAAACAGACAGTGCGAGAATCGGTTCAACGGAGGGATGCAGGGTTCAAACAGAAATGCAAGACGTATGCGGACAACAGACGACACGCCAAAGCAAGTAACATAAGAACTGGAGATAAATACGGCTAAGTGCAAACCGTTGAAATATGAAGGTAATAAAGATAGTGAAGATGTGGCCTGCAAGGACTCATAAAGGGATATTAAATACATATGGAAACTGAATAAATATATTAGGGGAGAGATGTGGTGTCGTAGTGTATTAGTGTAATTAGATTCATATAAGCATATGCATAATTATAAACACGTAGTCATGCATTGCGAACAATAACAAAAATACGAAAAAGAGAGATATTAAAAACAGTCTGGCTGTAGCATCATGAGAGTAAGCTATTAGCGTTTTAGTTTGTAAACGTTTAATTAAATAAATACATAGACTTAAAGATTCAATACTCTACAGGTACGGTATATATATTTACAACATATTGGTTGAATATTACAAAAACGGTTACATACAGTAGTTTGAAAGAACAAATGAATAGAATGAAAGAAAACAACTTATCAGTCACTAGTTAATTTGTAAAGAAATAACTCAAGAGGGATAGATCTAATATTAGCATTAAGAACAAGGTTAAGATGAGAAATTAACAGGATTTCACGGATGAGAAAATCCCATTCAGAAGTGGCTGATGATAGGATTTTGAAATCAGAAGCGGAGACTGGGTGTTTGTATATGTGTTTGTGAGCGAGTATACTAGACATGGTTGAGATATAGCGTTCTTTTCCAGTCAGAGGCGAGACTCCAATATGCTCTGGGATACGTGTGTGAATGTGTCGGCGCGTTTGGCCAACATTCAATGCGCTACAGCATTGACACGTGACCTGATACACAACATATAATCTCAGGGCAATGGGAATCCTGTCTTTAAATGGGAAGGAAGTAGAAAGGCAACAAGAGGAACGGAACACAACACGTATGGAAATATGTGGATAAGCAGAAGCATGAACTTTACTAACTTGTGAACGGATATGTAACCCGTGATGTCCAATGAAAGGAAGGCAGAAGTAAAGTAGTCTTTAGTGTTATAAATCTTGTCAAGAAATGTCTTAATGCAACTATCTAATGGTTATCAACTTAAGTTGTGAAATTGATAAGCGTTCACGGATAAAAAGATCCCCCTCAGAAGTGCCTGATGATAGGATTTTGACATCAGAAGCGAAGACTGGGTGTTTGCGCATGTGAAGCGGAGACTGGTTGTTTGTGCATTCACATTTTTGACTCTTCCAACGGTTATCCCAAAGCACTTATAGATAGTTGGATTAAGACATTTCTTGACAGAATTTATAACACCTAAGACAAGGTCCAAACATGTTCCAAGAAAATTGTTTACCTCTGCCTTCCTTTCATTGGACATCATAGTCTACATATCCGTTCACAACTTAGTAAAGTTCTTGCTTCTGCTTATCCACATATTTCCATACGTGTTGTTTTCCGTCTTTCTTGTCGCCTTTGTAGTTCCTTTCAATTTAAATACAGGATTCCCATTGCCCTGAGATCACATGTTGTGTATCAGTTAACGTGTCAATGCTGTAGTGCATTGTATGTTGACCAAACACGCCGACACATTCACACACGTACCTCAGAGCATGTGGGAGTCTCGTCTTTCACTGGAAAAAAAGGTCTATCTCAACTATGTCCAGTGCCTCTTTTAACTTATATGTCTCCATGTCCCCCCCTCACAGCTCTCTTACTGGTTAGGGTTAGGGTTAGGTTTAGGGACATATCCCCAACCTCTCACCCCCACAGCCCTCTTACTGGCCCCTTCAGTCAGCAATTAGTAGGTGGTCAACCAGCAATTATGTATCAAAGTGAGAAAACGAGGTATACAAATACCCAAACAACCTGAATATTCGCGTATTTTGTGTCAGTTCATGAATGTTATCGACTCTTCCGTCAGTTTTTGAAACATAATCAAAAGCATTACTATTAAAGAGCTTTAAAAATACTTTTCTCAATCATTAATTAAAGCACCAATTCCACTAGAACATCGCAGATTGTTTACGAAGTAAATACGAACACCGTTGAAAGTTTCGAAGCGGTCACGAGGTGTTCAAAAAGTTCATCATGTGGTACATAAAATCAACCGCGAGAGTGCAAATCTCGAGGAACAAATTTACCACTCTAGTGACTACGATAATATCTCCCCCCCCCCAGTTACACGTCCTTAAAAGAGGTCCTGACCATGTTTAGTATACTCGCTCACAAACACATGCACAAACATCCAATCTCCGCTTCTGATTTCAAAATCCTATCATCAGGCACTTCTGAACGGGATCGTCTTATCCGTGAAAGCCTATTAATTTCTCAACTTAATCCTGTCCTGCTAATGGTAGAACTAGCC